TGAGAACAGAGGACCTCAGGGCGCTGGAGAGTAAGATGATAAAGCACTTCTCACCAGCACTGAACTGCAAAGGTAAACAGTCCAAGAGGAAGAGTAATAGAAAGGGTAGGCGGGAGAGGTTAGCGGAGGCAAGGAAGGAAGGACAACCAAGGATTGAGGCGGAGGGGAAGAAAGGGTTGATCACATTCTCAGCCTAGGCAAGCATGTAGAGAACAACCAGTCTTCGAAGGATACTAGAGGATGCACTAGCAGCAGGAAGAAAAAAGATTAGTATTGCCAGCCATGGCGGAGACAACTGGGGCGAAGACTGGGTCGTGACGAGAAGACTATTCGGTACCTCTGCATTTTACATCGGTGGTAAGAAGCTTGCGCTTGCACAAGCAAAGAGCTATCTGGAAGAGGGTGGGAAGGCATGGATTGCACAGATCTCAAAATCCAAGAATGCACGTGAGCGAGGGAAGGGCTACCTGAAGCTATTACTATAGCTGCCGTGGAAGAGGAAAGAGTTGTGGGAATACGAAGTGGACAAGCTCATGTATCTCTACTCCAGTGCAGGCGCATTCCATGCTAAGCCTACCAGGAAGAAGGTGAAGGATGTAGTGGCCAGAGTAGTGTCAGCAAAAGTTGRCATCAACATCCGGAAGAAGATACTCATCCGGMTGCGATATGACAATACAATCAAGAAGAGAGATGTTCGGATTTTGGYGGAGGAGGAAGTGGAAAASACAGACCTCCAYCAGTCAATCAAAGGAGTTCTGAARAGGAAGATCAAGGTAGTCTGGCAGAAGAATAGYASGATCACTACGCTATTGTGTAATCACCATAAGGCAGCAAGAGGAAAGGAGGACAGCTGCACGTGTAGCGAGTTTGATCTGCCTCGCTSCGAAGGACATGTACTTACCAGAATCTCCGAGCTGCAGAAYGTACGGACGGAGATGATRAACGGCAAGAACATTGCAARACCGACATGGAGAATCCGRGAGCAACAACTCCAATCAGTACTCTACCTATCGTTGAAAGACGTAYTGGGTAGCAAGATGGTGACGACGCAACAATCACTGCAAGTGCTAGATTGCCTGAAGGTGAGGAAGGAAKAAGGCGCTGATGCGATAGAAGAAGAAGAGGTGAAGCGACTGAGCMGRCGGTTAAGCGGRCTGGYTATTKCTCCAGTGGACCGGAACCAGGGTGACTTGGCGATCATGTGCCCTTCAACGTACCATTGGGGGCTGAAGAAGATGTTCACGTACAATGCAGCATACACTCCAGTGTCGAAGCACGAAGTGGAGGTTACCAAGGAAGCCAGGAGGGAATACAAGGACGCTGGCCTGGATAAAATTGCAACGTGGAACGGGAAAGGGAAGATCGGAAGAGCGTACGTCCACCCTAAACCCTATTGCACCAGCAAGTAGCGAACCTACCAAGACAGGAAGCAGGCGGATGGCCAGGGCACCTAATACGCTACTTGTCAGACTCCCCGAGCCGAAGCATTTTAACCTAGGAGTCACAACTGGCCTGAAGGACAGGGTAGCATTGGCGGAGAAAAAGTTCAGTGCCAAGGATGGCGATATTGCGCTGCTCAGAAGCTACGACATCAAAGAAATGTTTACATCACTCCCGCATGATGCCATCTTGGAGGCAGTGGACTGGCTGCTGAAGGAATGGGAGATACGGGGCAGAACAAGAGTGAGCGTATGCAGAAGGGGCAAGGCAGTGGTTCTGAACAAGAAGAGTCTAGGTGCAGGCTACGTGCAGATCACCTTCGACCTTATCAGGAGATACATT